TAACACGGGGCAGACTTTCCTTCGTTGACATCTTGGGGTTTCTGCGTGTGAGGTTTGGTGGCTGGCGGGAACGGGGATTTGGTTTGAGATAGGAAGTTGGAGCTACTCTTGTGACGTGCTTGAGCTTGGCACTGATGACTTGTTGCGGCCTCGTGCTTCTAGCCCGTCTGCCTGGCATTGTTTGGGTGGGTCGTCTAAGGTTTGCCATGGGAAGTCGGAGCTGCTGCCTTCTCTGCAGCCATGATTGGCAACGATGACTCATGGTATTGCTTTACCGCATCGCATGGGTGGGTCAACCATTCGGATGTCCTGTGGTAGGCATCATGTGTTTGGCTAGCCATTATTGTACATGAAACTCTATCTCCTATACAACTAAAAAGAACAAAGTGTGGACATCTTTTGGTGCGACATTTGTTTTGGTTCGTCCGTCTGCCCACGCCTGTGATCCCATGACATCTTAATTACTGATTGATCGTGCCATTCCCCTTGATTGAATATTGCCTATCATGTGATAAAGGAATCATGGCAAAATAGGAAGTAGAAAATTATTGTGCTATCCATATACACATTGCATGTTTGCATGCACCAGCATACATGGCAATGAGCAAAAGGAAAGAGAATTAACACAGAAGGAAAGAGAATTAAGACAAAAGGAACCTCTTTGCATTTCTGAGAACCTTGTCAAATCTGCCTACATTTAATTACTTCCCCTCTTTGCATTTGCAAAAGAGAGCTTTTTTCTCCTTTCATTTGGTTTCACGCTCACGTGTTCTATCGCCCTCGCTTGCTGTTTCTTGCGTGAACCATAGTTGATGTCATATGTCTTCCATGGCTCAGCCTCCCAATCCCAAGAGAAGGTCCCTACCTCTCCCTGACTGGAGATCCGGCCTGCTAGAGGATCTCCTCGAGTCCATCGGCCAGCGTCTCGCGTCAGGCCACGACGTGGCATCCTTCCGATCCGCTTGCTCCCTATGGCGCGCCGCCGTCCTGTTCGCGACCTTTGGGCTGCTCCTGCTGCTCCCGTTCGACCCCGACTCGGACCGTATCGGCTTCTACTGTGTCCCGGAGAAGAAGGTCTTGTCGAAGACGCTGCCCAACGTGCACGGCAAGGTGGCGTGCGACTCCTCGTGTGGGTGGCTGGCGCTCATGGATGAGGCGGCGTTCGTGATGCTACTGAATCCATTTGCCGGTGCCCGTGCCCCCCGCGTTGAGCTCCCGCCAGCAGGCGAACACGTCGCGGCGGCGTCCTCATCGGAACGCGTGTCTAGGGTCCACGGCCGGTGGGTCCTCCATCCCACCAACGGCTACGGGGACGTGGATGCCGCAGGCAGAGCCATCAAGCTAGAAGACATGAGGGACGTGTTCTTCCGTGAGATCGTGCTCTCGGCGCCGCCTGACGCCGCCGGCCGCAAGTGCGTGGCCATGGCCATGCTTGGGTCCTCCACGGAGGTCGTGTTCTGCCGGGTTGGAGTCGACAGCGCATGGACGCTGCTCGACACCAAACTAGAGTTCTCCGTGGGGTCCATCGTCCACTGCCAAGACAAGTTCTTGGCGATCGACTGCACTGGAGAAATCTCCGTCTGCAGCAGCAACACCGCCGCCACTACTCAAACCGCGACGCTGCTGTCATCGCTGTCGCCACCTGCGGGGCTCTGCCACCGCAGCTACCTGGAATCAAACGGTGAGCTGCACATTGTGGGTGCCATGGTGAGCACGTTTCACGAGACACAGAGCTTCACCTACAGCAGCGTGATCTACAAGTGCAACCTCCACGATCGTACGCCGGAGTGGTCCAAGGTGAGGGACATCGGTGATTAGACACTGTTCGTGTCTAAACATTTCAATGAAAGCTTCAATGGAACAAGTGTATCCAAGTATAAGGAGAACAAAATCTACATGTCTGAGCCATTGTATGGGGATCCATACGACTTGGTCAATCGACCGGAGATCGTTGATATTGCTACCGGCGCATCCGAAGTGAAGCCCGTCCAGGAAAAGATGCAGGGTTCCGAGCCTCTAGGTTAGATTCGACCCAATCTCTGAAGGCTCTAGAGTTTATGAGCCTGCGACGCCGCACACTCCGTGACTATGTTAAATTCATAAACTTTACTTTTTAGATTAAATGTCACTTTAACGTTGGTATATAATTTAACAATATTGTTATCTTATCGTGCGATCCGTTTGTTTTTAGTATAAATTGTTAGTTATTCCGTAGCAACGTATGGACACGCTACCTAGTTCTTTTTAATTGAAAGACGGAGCTTCTGCCTAGTTAAAAAAATAAGTCACATTTTAAGCGGAGGAAAATGTCACGCATTGGTTGGGCCACGATACTCAGACAAACGGGTGACTAGCAAGTGGGTTTTCAGCCCAAGTCAACCGAGATGGCTTAAACTACGAAAGGAAGCTACAACAATGGCAGAAGGGACGAAAACCGAACAATACTGAACTTGTCTTCCTCCTCTGTCCTAAAACTTCTTGTACCTGTTCTTGCTCTTACCTCAGATTCCCTACTTCCCTTAACTCAAGTTGTTGTTATTTTTGACTGATTCTTGTCTGAATACCAAGGTCCGTGAAAGCACGTGAATTAGGTGTCAAACGCTGAGCCCACGCACCGAGTTCCAAATTCTGAAATCGCTCGGTCCCCTCTCCCCCCGATCTCTCACGTCACCCTGTGCCTTCAACTTCTTCAGTCTAGAACCGAACATGACAAATTAACAAAGGACTTCCATGATGATTAGAGAAAGATATGAAAGGTTCTTTTCCAAGGGAGATGATATAAACTGGCTAGCGGTTTGGGACGGTGGATGCATGCTTGCATTTTCTGTACAGTGTTTAGGCCTATGTACTAGTTCCAGCGGCGGTGGCCTGGCTGGAACTGGAATACAGTGCTGCACTGTCACCGTCACCGTGGGTTTCCGAGCATTGCGCTCTGCACTAAAAAATCACAAGATACATATCAAGGTGACCCATGAACGACTAATTCTGCATTTCTGCATATACTTTGATCAACACAGTTCTCGTAACTGGCGCCCAAAGTCAACTGGTGACAACAACTCCTGCAGCTGCGGTTGCAACTTGCATGCCAGCTTGATAATAATAGAGATGGGTGTGTTTTACTTGTTCTGGATCCAGCAAGGAACCAAGACTCCTTAGAGCACCGCTGAAAGCAAGACTCCTTAGAGCACCGCTGAAAGCTACAAGCTGCTCGCCCAAGACTCCTTATAGCACCGCTGAAAGCAAGACTCCTTAGAGCACCGCTGCTACAAGCTGCTCGCCGCCGTTGACGGGGGCGGCGTTGACGGCGAGCTTCGTCGCGAATTCATCCGGCGGTGTTCGTCACTGAACTGTCAGGTATGTATGTATGCGCATTCTCTCCATCACCGCACATTCCCATCCTGTCGAGTTGTGATAGCTAGAAAACCAATTTGCGTGAGATGTTCAGGGTTCTGAAAGGCTAGCTAGAATTTTGGGGGAGTTTCTTAAGGATTGCTCCTATGTTTTTAGGAAACAGGACGACCTAACGAGCTTCTAGTTCCATTAACGTAACCGGGGTACGTAGTACACAGAGGGAAGCAGAGATTAACACGTTCCAAAAATGTAATGTCTTGTTTTAGGTTGTTGTTGACTGTTAGGAAGTCTGTCTCTTGATTATTTCTTCTTAAAATCTGTGACACATACACAAGATTAATTCCGCAACCATTATATTATAGGTCATTAAATCAATTCACCAAATAACGGTATTTCTTTATGACTAGGCTTTAATTCCAACATAGTAACCTTGCCTTATCATGGAGCTTTCTATACATTACTTGGATGTTGGTGTAATTTCATTATTTTCATGCCATGTAATGGTGCTTTAAGATTCCTCATGAATCAGCACGAAAATCCCTTTTGAGTATGGGAGTTCGAAAATACAGCTATAAGATGTAAGGTACTACCTCAGTCCTAGAAAGAACCTGTTAATCTTGTTTTCTCCTGATTCAAGCTATCTTAACTTATAGGCTGCAACAAGAATCATCATAGCTTAAGCTAAGGTAGTTTTAACTAGATGCATATTGAAGACACATGAAGTGCTATCCCGAGAGAGAAAACTAAAGATATGTATCAAAATTTTAAAAACATATAGTAGATAATTAATAAGTTCATCAAAATTGGATAAATAATTAACATATTTGACTTTGTAAAGTCTTTGATGCATATCTTTGATCATGAATATCTTGTATAACGTGTTCCTAAAATCCTCAGGATTGATGAGATTTGCAAGTTTTCCAACACAATTCTACGTTTGAATCTTACATGACCATTCCAAATACTACTTCCCTCCTAGAATTATTATGTGTATTTTGATCAAGAAAAAGTCATACAGAATAGTTTTTGACTCTGATTTCTCTTACAATATAGTGTCATTTCTAAAGGATCAATATCATCTCAGGGCGCTTGGAATAGAAATCGATACAAGTTTTATGTCTTATAGTTGTATATAATTTGACAAATTGTTGGTCAAAGTTTGTAAGGTTTGACTTTTCCTTGCGCAAAATGTGATTATTATTATTTTGTGATGGAGAGAGTATTACTGTTGCAATTGATTTGTTCCTATAACTGGAGGGAGTGCATAGTACCTATATGGATATCACATTAAAGAATGAAAAACAGAGAGAGAGAGAGAGAGAGAGAGAGAGAGAGAGCACTGATAAGTAATTTTGATTACTTGTGAGCACTAAACACACAAACTTCTAATATACTAGTGTCCTCTTATGTTGTAGCCAGTACAAAAGGATGGGTTGTTGAGTTAGTGTTCTGTGGGCCTAAAATTCCAATAGACATGTATTTCCTTTAAATATGGTTTACAAAAACATGGAATTTTTAAATAAATGTTACAATGCCTTGCTCAGACATTAATAAGTTGTTTTCTTGCAGGGTCTATACTGTCATTTTGTACTAGGATCTGTGTTGTTGGCATGGATTCAAACATTCAGTTTATGACTAGGATCTTATCCATGGGTGCTATGTGGCAAAAAGTTACGCGTTTCACCGAAGATGAGATTGAAGCACTTACTAACAACTATGGCACTCTTATTGGGAAGGGAGGATATGGAGAAGTCTATAAAGGGATCCTTGATGATCACTACGATTTAGTTGCAGTGAAGAGATATATCCGTGAAAATTTGAGGAAAGAGTTTATGGAAGAAGTAAGCATCCATAGTCAAATGAATCACAAGAACGTGGTGAAGTTCATAGGCTATTGTGTGGGTGAAAGTACTCTAACATTGGTAACTGAGTATGTTCCTAAGGGAAACCTCGATGACATACTGCACAATAGTGACACTGCAATTCCCTTGGATATAAGATTAGGTATTGCTATAGGGTGTGCGGAAGCATTGAGCTACATGCACTCGATGCATTTATCAATTGACAGCCTTATTTGTCATGGTGATATTAAGCCGGCCAACATACTTCTAGATGATAATTTTACAGCCAAAGTATCTGATTTTGGGTTGTCAAGGCTTCTTTTGGGTGGAATCACTCAATATGCTAGCAAGGTAATAGGAAGTATAGATTACATGGATCCTGTATTGATGCATACAGGACGACTTACTCCGAGGAATGATGTTTATAGCTTTGGAATAGTTCTCCTGGAATTAGTAACTCGGAAAAGAGTAAAACAAGGTGACATGAATCTCATCGGAATTTTCGAATGTGCGAAGGGGAAAGGGTTGAGGAAACTATTTGATGAATCAATAGCAAACAAGAATACTTTTAAGACTCTTGAAGAAATTGTGGAACTTGCAATGGCGTGCCTGAGACTTGACATAAAAAATGGCCCTGAAATGAATCATGTGCAAAAATGTCTTCGGGTTCTTAAGAGAGATCTGAAGTGCAGACAAGAACATGCATCTTCGCAATCCATTTTGTCAACACACCATTCATGGCACACAAAAGACAAGCAAGAGAGTGCACAGCTTAATAAGAGTGGTAGCTTTTTCAGAAGAAATGCTAGCAATGTTAAGATTATATCAGAATTCAGCAATGTAAGAACTTTCACAAAGGCAGAGCTAAAGGAAATCACAGATAATTACTCAGATATGCTCAGTGGAGGTATGCCAGCTAAGTTTTATAAAGGAAGACTTGAGGACAACACGGTGGTGGCGGTCCGGAAATTTCGTGACACGGCTTCTCAAGAGGCATTCATCAACGGAGGGATTGTCCTTTCTCAAATTGCCCACAAGAATAATATTATCAAGCTTTTGGGTTGTTGCTTGGAAGCCGAAACTCTAGCTTTTATATATGAGTATGCTGATAAAGGTAGTTTACTGGACATTCTGGGTAGCCAAGAATATCTCCCACTAGATCTACGTCTGAGGATTGCAATTAAGACTGCAGAAGCATTACAATACCTTCATTCACCAGCAACTGGCATCATCGGACATGGTAGTGTTTCAGCATCCACTGTACTTCTTCATGATAACTTTGTACCAAAGCTCACAGATTTTTCAGGGGCTTCTAAGCTTATCGTGGACAGTGGAAGTAATGCTGGTGACAGTGGAATTAACAGCGTTCTTCTTGAAAAGGTGCTTGACAGTGACCCATCTCGTTACAAGACTGTGTTGATGAATCTGGAAAGCGATGTGTACAGGTTTGGCGGTGTTTTATTGTCACTCATTAGTAGGGAAAACAATATTTGTTTTGATGACCTTACTGTCGAATTTACCAAGGCTTACCAAAAGGACAACAGTGGGAAGGCAATGTTTGATAAGGATATAACAGCTGAACAAGATATTGCTGCTCTTGAAGAGATGGGGAGGTTGGCACTGAGGTGTACTATTTTGAATGCAGACGGGATGGTCATGAGGCCGACAATGCAGGAAGTGGCGGAAGAACTACGAAGGATTAGGAGATGTTGCAAGCTGCGCACGAGCGAGACAACTCCACATGTAACTGAAACTACGGCTACAGCTGCGGCACCATTGGAGCCAAGGCTACCAAACCTGATGCGCCACTTGTTTGGATATCGACGAATCTCTATCACTGATCCTATACGTACAGGCTAATTCTAAACAATGTGAATCCAACTAGGATATATGTGATGTTCATTTTTTTTGTTTCATACAATGTTTTATGTGGACTTGTTTGTGCTTCCAGATGTCAGAATTCACAGACAAAAGTCTACAAAAGAGTGTCTTTGGCTAGATTGTTTATCATGCACTTGATTTGATAGTGTTACTGAAATTTATATGTATTTAATGGAATGTGATTCGGAATAGTATGTTGCTAAACTGAGTTAAAAGTTTACTTGTCTGTTGATTTTGACCTACTATTTTTTTCATACTCTTTTAAAGCTTTTCCGTAGCAACGCACGGGCATTTGCTGGTATGATATATGTTTGCTTGCTGAAACAATGCCTGTGACTATGGCATCAACTTTCTTTAACATTCCCCAGACAATGCCTGTTGTTGAAGAATCATTGAGATATTTTATGTCTCAAGAGAGGGTAAATGGTTTGGCAACATGATGCATTGAGAAGAAATTATTGGATGAGATTGATACCATCATCGTTGACTTTGCATTGAGAAATGTTAGAGGAAACTTTTAACTCAATTTAATATTTATTTGGTACGAATATTGCTTTTAGTGAAATGTTACACATGGTAACATTTTATATATACATATTGAGAATTATTATTATCATATTTATAAAGGAGTCCAGAGTTTTAGTCTCGCTCTAGACCCCGATATGCATATTGGTACTAGAATGGAGTCCAGAGATGCTACTTTTTTGAAAGTGAATACATCTAGTCATGAACCTATAATACTCCATGAGTAATTTATTCCAATAGAACAGATTGAGTAACACCATGTGCAAAATTCTGAGGAGGATAACATTGTAGTTATTCGAAAGAGTAAGAGACAAATGTGTACCTTGTCGATGACACCAAGAACTATTGAAAAGGCATATTCTTAATGCTGACCGTTGGAAGGAAGCCGTATAGAGTGAGATTGATTCAATTATGTCTAATAGAACTTAGGAAGTCATTAAACGTGATGAGAGTCATTTGAGCCAAGAAATTGGTAATTGACAGTTGTACAGTGTTGGTACAAGTGGATGTACAGGACAATTATAGTTAAACAAATAAAAACCTTTTTCAAAAGTTGTTATCAAATTAAAAAATATAATGCTTTTCACAAAAAAAATATAATGCTTTACAATGAAAAACACTAGCATCCCACGTTATTTGTGCAGGTCATCTTGTTAGGTTTTTTTAAATTTACGGTGGGAGGTAATAAATTTTGTTTTCTTGATTCCAAATTTTTATTTTATTTTTAATTTGTGGTAATTGGTAGGACAAGTTGTAGTGTATCCAAAGGGCTCTGGTCTTTAAAGATGCTCATAAGCTTAGGATTTACGTGTGTGCATTTATAGAGGTGAGTGTGCTTGCATTGTAAGTAGAGCGTTGCACTATAATTCACAAAAAAAGGCTTAAGAGCCTCTTCGAGAGCTATTTTTAAACTCACTCTCTAATTTATTATTTAAAGAGCTATTTGTATGAAAATTATTGTTTTCTAGTATAACTTTTCACCCTCATTAGCTTTTCTATATCTTATACGTACCCTAGACAACTAGACTTGCTCTTTATTTTTTTCTAGCAAGAAATCTATAGTCGCCCTGTTCGCTTGAACTTATCAGCCATAGAAACCATCAGCCGAACAGCTATGACTAGATTTAAGATCTAATTAGACAAGCTGTTGCATGATATTTTTTTACCAAAATCTCTATTTCTATCGATTAATATGAAGAATATAAAGAGGCTCTTGTAGTTGCTCTTAGAGTGTCCTCAAGAGCCTTTCTAAATCTCACTCTCTAAATCATCATTTGGATTGTTATTTGCATAAAAATCGCTTTCTATATCTTTTCACTCTCCAACAGGTTTTCTATATCACATGTGTACTCTAGAGAGCCATTCTCGTCTTCTATTTTTTATTAACGAAAAATCCGGAATAGAAGATGGCTATATTTGGATGACCATTTAGAAAAGCCGTTGGAGGGTATTTTTTCATCAAAATCTCTATTCCTAGCATGAAGAGTTTCTTGGAGATGCTTTTAGATTCCTATATTTTATCATTCCTTTTTTTTTTAGTCTCTCACTTCAAAATGGACTAAAAGATCGGGATGCATTGCATTGCCGTGGAATTTGTGGTGCTTTGCTGTGGATTGGACCCAACGGGCCTTGAATCCTGTGATCATCAGGAAACGCAAATGGCCCATTAATAAATGGGCCGGCTGAGAGCACGCGCTTTGGGGTAGTGGTGTTGCCTCGTCAGCTCCCCGCAGAGCGGTGGCGGCGACTCCTGCGAGTGCCGGCGCGACCACTCCGGCGATCTCCGGCAGGTCCGCTCCTGCTTCTTCCTGCCTTCCCCGTTTATTAACCGCTATAAGCCTTCCGCTCCTTCTCACCATCTTCTTGAGCCGCAGCGGCCCCCCGTTTGTTCACAGACATGCCTCCGAGTAAAAGGGCAAAACTGGACGGTGCGGCGTTGCCGGATGCTGGCGGCGATCGCATCAGCGCGCTCCCGGACGACGCCCTCCATCACGTCCTCTCTTTCCTCCCGGCGGAGGACGCCGTGCGGACATGCGTGCTCGCCCGGCGCTGGCGCCATCTCTGGAAGTCCGCCACAGGTCTGCGTATCGGATTCGGCCATGGAGATACACCGCCGTTCGTGGACAGTCTCAGACACTTCGTCAATCATCTGCTCCTCCGCAAGCGCGATTCCTGTCTCCACACATGCGAGCTCAGATTAGGGCCCCGGGTATACTGGTTGGTTGAAGAGCGAAACAATCTGAATCTCTGGATCCGGCATGTTGTAGACCGTGAAGTTCGGATGCTCAGGCTCGAAATCCATGACTTCTATTATGGATTTCACTTAGACAACCTGCCTCTTGTCTCTAAGCACTTGAAAACGCTAGCACTTATCGGTGTGTGCTTAAATAGTCTCTGCAACTTCTCCAATTGTCCGAATCTGGAACATCTAGTGATTGCTGAGTCTTACATTTATGAGGCCCCCCAGATCTCGTCAAAATCCCTGAAACACCTGAGCATCAACGATTGCTATTTTGGTTATAAGGGATCGCACACTCTTATTTGTACCCCACACCTTGTTTCACTTAGGCTAGATGGTCATTTCGCCTCGGTTCCAGTTTTGGGTAGCATGCCATCATTAAAAGAGGCATTTGCCAGAGATCATATTTGGGATTGTGGAAGTGAGGATTGTTTCTCTTGTAATGGTTTCATACCTGACGAATCCGACTACAAGAACAAATGTTTTCTTCTGCAAGGATTGTCAAAAGTTGAGAATTTGACATTGATGTGTGACTACAATGGGGTACGCTTTTGTAAATTTTGTCCGTTAACACCTTTATTACATTGTTCGATTATTATTATTTCCTGTTTTGTCCGACTATTATTTTTTCGATTGTTATGTTGTCCTATTATTATTTTTTTCCCATTCTTATGTTGTCTGATTAGTCTGACTGATTGTATTTCTGCTGTGGTATTTATATCAAGTTTTAGATATTCATAAAAACAAAAGCCGGGTCTGTTTTCACACTGAATAATAGTCATTTTTTTTCTGTCTGCATTTTGTCCAGGTTGTTTTCCGCAGGGATTTGGAGTGGTGCCCAACTTTTAACAACTTGAGGACTCTACTGCTGAATGAATGGTGGTGCTTGGATCCTGACTTCTATGGGCTAAATCTCATTTCAAGCACTCACCGGTTCTGGAGGAGCTCAACCTTCATCTTTTTACTAAGGTATATATATTTTATGTAACTACTGCTTTGTTGAACTAATTATATGTTATTGGTTAACACTGATGGATTACTGTGGTTTATCACAGGGACCTCAACATAAAGTGGAAATGATAGGCAGGTACAATCAAATGGTGAGACCAGCTACTATATTAAAACACATGAAGGAAATTGAAGTCAAATGTGATGTGGTTAACGAGCAAGTTCACAAAGTTTTGAAGTTTCTGGGTACATTTGGCATACCTAAGCGAACTAGCAAAACACTTGGTGTTCTCTACAATTTATTTAAACTTTCCTTCATGTGTGCAAATTAAATCAAGCATTGAATAAGCTCCTAACTTTCTTGGAAAGCATTCAATTAACTTAACAATGAGGGTGACATGTTTGAATCCTTTTTTTTTTTTGGCAATCTTTTCCAGAGAGCTAGGAGATATACAGAGAGGTGCTGAAATTAAATGCTCTGCATAAACAGTATACATTATCTTCTGGCAGTTCTTAATATTTTAATTAGCTCTGAACATAAACATAAATATCACTACTGGATTATTCCATGAGATTTTTATAATATTCTATGCTTCCAAAGCTTTCAGTGCAACCATCATGCTGTTGCTAAACAAACTAGAACACAAGTGGAATTGGGGCTGCCAGAGGGCAGCTTGGCCAACAGGCCGCTTGGATTGTATTGAATTGCAATGACAACTTAGATACAAAAAGATGCTAACCACTGCATATATAGGCAAGTGGTGTACCTACTCCTTAGCATATTCTAACTGCATAAAGCAGATGCTATGATTCCTACTTAGTTGCCAAGGCACCATGATCAACTTGGTTGCCAAGGAACCTGAAAATTACATGATAGTGAATAGTAAATAGGTAACTGGATACATTGAGGTTCAGCACTAGGCTAACACCCTCACATGCAGCTTTGGCTTCTTAAAATATCAATTTGTTTCTTGTTTGTAGGAACCAAGTGCATGTACTTGATTAGAAATCAAAGCTATGCCTTTGGCTTCACATATGATGATATTGTTTGTAGTCTTCTCAAATACAGGTGCATAAATAGTAGTATCCATACACCAAATGTTCTTGGGGGAGTAAGGGTTGGAAAGCTGTACTCCTCATGTTTGCAGTCATTTTATTAGATTTTCCTTCTTTCTACTATTGCGCAGTTTGCTAAGAGTAGCCATTGCAGCAGAGCACCTCTCTCCCTATTGTGCCCCAAGCTAATCCTTTGCGCCGTCCCTTCTCCTATGTCCCCAACCACCACCTGCAGCCAAGGTGGAGTTACAGCTGTGCAGATCGCGCTATGGGCGGTGGTGTCTTTTGTCAACACCTTTGGAGTGCAGATCTCTGGCGCTGGAGAAACTGGAGCCCTGAACTTGTCTGCGCTATTGCAGTGCCTCATTCTTTTTTTTTGAATGAACAGCTCTGCCTCTCAATTAAGGAAGGAAAGAGAGTTTATGTACAGAAAGTGCCATCGGCACGAAACTCCCAAAGGGCACATAGAGTAAAGTAAAGCACACAACACACACGTCATGGGGGATAGATACAAGGTCTAAGTCAGGTTGTTGAAGACCCTAGAGCATAGGTCGATGTCCTCTTTGGTTTTGGAGGCTACCTACCGGACATCCATCACCAAATTTTGGAAAATCCTTCTGTTTGTTTCCTTCCAAATGTTCCACATTGTGTAGATGACCACCCCGTTGAAGTGTCTACGTCTCTGCCTTGGGATGTTGGCCGCCCCCTGTTCCCACCATGCCCTTATGCTAGATGGCTGCACCTGAGGCCGAATTAAGTCCACATCGAAGTGTTCCCACCCCAGCACAAGGTCAGACTTCTATGGCCAGGGGGCACAACAGGCACAAGTGAAGGGCCGTTTCCAGTGGTCCATTGCACAGCACGCAATGGTCTTGGTGTGGCCAATTTCTTAGCTGCAAGTTGTCTGCCGTTAGGATCTTGTTTTGTATGAGAATCCAAGTGAAGACTTTGCATTTGTTTTCGGCATGTGCCTTCCAAATAAGATCCGGGCGGAATCTGCGGTAGGATCCTTGGAATTGTATGCGGTATGCTGATTGGGTTGAGTAAATGCCATCTGTTGACCACTTCCAAACAATGGAGTCCCGTATTCCAGGCTGCAGCTGGATGCTCTGTACCCTGAGCCACAGTGAGACGAATTCCTCTAAGTGAGTGGCTGTTGTGATCCTGCCTCTGAGCAAGCGAATCCAGCTGTTATTGTGGAGCTCTTGCTGGACCGTTCTGTTTTTCCTCTTAACAAGTTCAAAGAGGTGTGGCGCAAGGTTTTTGGGAGCTTCACCGTCCAGCCAACTATGATGCCAGAACTGTGCTTTCTTACCGTCCCCGACCATGACGATGGTTGAGGCATTGAAGAGGAGTCTATCCGTTGGTTTACAAGGCAAGTCCATACCAGCCCAAGGTTAGGAGGGATCTGTCCAGTCCTGCCACAGCCAACGCAATCGCAACGCTCTCCCAAATTTCTCCAAGTCTGGGACCCCAAGGCCACCAAGCTCTTTTGGTTTTGACACTGTCGGCCAGTTGACAAGGCAGTGACCTCCATTTGTGTTCTCTTCCCCTTTCCAAAGGAATGACCTGCGGATTCTGTCAATATGTTTTTTGGTCCAGGCAGCAAGTGGGAAGACAGTGAGGTGGTTGGTAGGCATAGACGATAGGACCGAAGTGACCAGCGTTAAGCGTCCTTCTTTGTTTAGCAACTTGCCCTTCCAGCCCGGTAATCTCTGGCCGATTCGCTCTATGAGGGGTTGCACGTGTACTTTACGCAGTGGCCTGTAGTGCAGCTGTAGACCAAGGTAGCGGCACGGAAAAGTGTCTCTAGTCCCCGAAAAGGACGAGAGAACATGATCAAGATCGATATCTTCGCATCTAATCGGGTGGACGGAGCTTTTATCCATGTTTATGCACAAGCCCAGACACCTTCCCGAATGTCTCAAGAATGATCTTGATGGCGTCGATGTCCTCTTTTTTTGGGTTTACGAAGATTGCAGCATCATCAGCATACATGGACGTTCTCCACTTTGCCGCAACAAGAGGCAGCTGCGTGAGGACGTTGTGGCTGGTGGCAAGGTCCAACAATCGCTGCAATGGGTCCATGGCTAAGATGAAGAGCATAGGTGATAGCAGATCACCCTGGCGCACCCCTCTGGCGTGGCGGAATTTTCCTCTAGGCACGCCATTTAGCAAGGCTCTAGAGCCGTATTCCTCCTTGCTGTGCATTCTTCAGTGGAGCTGAGGATAGTGAGGAAGAACCAGGAGCTGAGTCCTGGACATATAGATGAGGGGTGGTGGAGGTTAGTGATCTCAATGGCATAGAGCTGTCAGAGAGGAGATAGGATAGGTAAGGATGCGAGGACAGATACACAGAAGGTGGTCCTATCACATCAGTCTCATGTTAATATTTTCAGCTGCAGGTATCTCATAATTTGGGAACTGGGATTGATAATTCAGATATCTAGTGAGGTGGGCAAAGAATTGTGCTGAATTATGGCACAATAACATGATACTAAATGGGGTTAGTTGGGACTTGGGGTAAAGACCCTTAGGTAGAGCAGGGGCGGAGAAAGACGCTTGTTTATTTCTTGCTTTTGTAGTTATAACTCGAACACTTTTGTAGTTATTCCTTGGCCGGTAAAATAACATTTATTTCGTAACAAAGACAATCTTACCAGCTAATAGAACCTTTCTTAACAAAGATCTTATGTCCTTATGACTTTCTTCCCCTAATAGTTAAATTAGGCTCCAGCTGCGCTGCTTCTGCCATCTTGCCACATGTATGCTCACAGGGGCTGATGCCCATTAAACCTTCAAGCCATGTCATGCTGGCTAGCAAATTCTCATCATGCTAATATTGTCGTCTCATTGTTCAGTTTACTTTTCTGCCTTTTGCTCACTGATGGTTTATACTAAACTTCAAACTCTGATGTGATGAGACGATAATGTAGGGGTTCTTGTCAGCCAGATGCATTCATGTCATAGCTTATGAGTGCAGAGAAAAAAATCGGATATCATAGCTTGGAAAACTATTTGACTTGAACCTTTTGCTCTGCTGCATATTTGTATAGCATATCAATACTCAGAGACAATCATATTGAACTGCATGCTGCATTTCCTACTTGCTGAATTGTGATTTGGCATTTTAAGTTTTATTCTCAAGTAATGGAGTGTTTTTTTTTCTGCCTGTAAACTTACGTCGTGTTTAGTTGGACCCCAAAGTCCAAAAAGTTGCTACAGTACCTGTCATATCGAATGTTTGCGGCCCGTGCATGGAGTATTAAATGTAGACGAAAATAAAAACTAATTGCACAGTTTGGTGGGAAATTGCGAGACGAACGTTTTGAGCCTAATTAGTCCATGTTTGAACACTATTTGCCAAATAAAAACGAACGTGCTACAGTAGCCCCAAAATCCAAATTCGCCCAACTAAACAAGGGCTTATTGTGCTTTTTCGTGTACAGTTTTCCTTTTCAAGTAAGGAAGAGAAAAACTGGGAGGTTGATAGATCTACCATCTCTTGGCTATCCTGAAATGTAAGGCTTAAGCTTGTGCTGCTGGGGACATAAGTACCTTGTATCCGGATGGTCTAGGATTGAGCCACTCGTTAGTATAACTTTATGTGAACACTTTATCTGAACACGATGATTGACGTGAACCTGGCTAATTATGTCATTTTATCGCTGTTTCACCTTTTGCTTTGGCCTGCATCGATTTACTCGGTTCTCTTGATCGATTGACTTTACTTATTGTTATACTTCCCTTAGCTAAGAGGTGAGAGCTGGTGACGGAGTTCTCTGTTTCAAAAACTGTTTTGGGCTAGTTAGTTTCATCTGAGTTACTGAATAGCGATTCACAATTTCCAGAGGAATCACACTTTTGGGCAAAATTAGTAGCTCGTTTGAACCAACAACTCGGCATCATGTGTTCAGCATTCACCCTTGAAAGATATCACCCTCAGTCACAAATTACTGGTCATTTGACTTTTCTAGATACGTAGCTTTTGCTAGGCACGTCTAGGTACATAAGACTCTTAAGCTAGCTCTAATCACTCTTTTCATATTTTAATAGAAGAGAGAAAAGCTAGTTCT